GGTTGAGAAACACTGCACTACAGGCCTGCTGTGAGAATGCATTATTGCTGGTGCCACACAGCTAACCCATAATGTGACTTGTTGGTTTGAATGTTGTGTAAACCCAGCCACTGTGGTTTAAAAAACCTGGTTCATGCCTCTGTGTGTTTGGCAAGTCAGTCAATGCTAGATTATTCAATAAACTATGCTTAAACAAACCACAGCTTACCACAGATGTGCACAACCTGAGGCCTGCAGACTACGTATGGCCTTCCATACTCAAAGCCATGGGTATGCCCCCAGTGCTTCTCCAGAATTGGCCAGCAAATTTTAATTTTTAATGTGACAAAAGGGGAGATGGCCGAATCCATGTGGACTGTATTGTCTTACTTATTTTAATACAATTTTAATTATATTTCAATTAAATTAAACTTAGTTTTTGTCCTGGCCATCTTCACTTTTTTGAGCATGCAGGTCCCCGCATAATCCCTGAAGGCTGAGCATGGCCCTCAATTTGAAAAAAAAAAATTACATATCTATAGATTAGCATGATGTATGTCTACTACTCTCAAGCTAAATTCCTTATTCTTAGTTCATTATCAGGGAACCTTCTCTTATATGAATTAAGAGGTGTTTTGAAATGTGCATTTTCTTAAATAAATTCACTTGGAAAAGATTATGTCAGGCCTTAAAGGGACCATCTGGAAAAGACATACACTCTAGCTCCTGGTGAAAGAGCATATTTGCATGAATATGTTACTGGAGGTCACATATTAGCCTCCCTTCCCAGAGCCCCCAACAATCTTTCCCCACCCCATATTGGCTGGTGCTTTAGATATGCAGAACCCCATATGTAGAGATGATGGGGAGACACAGGCCTCCAGCCCCCAATCATGTAGAGCAGCAGCAAATACTTAAAGTCCACTTCACACACTATTTCATTGTGAACCTCCATATTGGCTGTATTCACACAACACGCCAGATCACAAACTAGCCAATCACATGTTAGCCTAGCATGTTATGATTAGCCTACGGTTCAAATTGGGTCGAGTAAACCATGGTTCTGGTTAACCATGAGGAAGCATGTCATTCTCATGAACACAACTTAGATGAGAATGAAAAGAGAGCCTCATAGAGAAGGAAGACCTAGGTTGAAAACCAACTTCAGGCCTAGCCATTCCTTGCCATCTATCAGCCTACTGTTCCATCTTTCAGCCTAGCCTATCTTTCAGGTGTGGTGAGAGGCGAAGTTCATTCTATTCCCCGGAGTTTTTCTCAAGAATGGTGGAATTAAAAATGTAATAAATCAACACATTTTAACTGCTGCTATAAGAGTTAGCTGCATTTTGTTAGAATGACAAGGAAGAAAGACAGAATATCTATGTTTGGCAGCAACCAGAGCAGATTTAAAAGATGATAATGAAAATTCACTTTATTACAGGCCATGCTGCATGCAAAATGTTTTTACCAACTGGTGGAAACATCTATGCCAAAAGCTTTCAATGCCATATAAAAGAATTACAGTTTTACAGCTAATATAAGCAGAACTGAACTATTAATGGGGGAGGGGGGGACCTTTATTTAAATACTAGCATATTTTTAAATACTGTAGTTGGATTAGCTTTTAGCTACTTTATCCCAGCAAACCAAGACATCTAGAGGTTACTACTCCTGCTCTATTTATTTATTTACTATATTTGTTAGCTGCCCCAATCAAGCTGATTGCAGTGTTTCAAACATTGTTGTGATTAAAAGACAATGTATATATTTAATGGAAAGCCATTCTGATCTTAATTACAGGAATGATCTGACAGTAATGATCTTCTAAAATTCCAGCATAGTGACAGCTCCAGTCCTGTATTCACTCATCTGAGAGTAAACGCCGTGTAATTAATGGTACTTTTCAGCAGGAATATGTAAATTGATCAAACCATAGAGATCAATTAGACTGGAACCAGGGAAACAAGAAAAGAACAAGAAAATCCCACACATACACACTTGGAGAAAAATAATACATTCACCCAGAGATAAATGACTTGAGGAAGCCATTTTGAAGGTCAGTTTCCCCAAAGGGAGAAACAGCCAAAGCAATGAAATCAAATTGCATTGGTGGGGAGTGGGGTGAAGGACTTAAGAACTCTGCAGGGGATCAGCATTTATGAACAATATCAGGGTGACAATGATAGGAAGCACAGAGACCCACAAGAAAACAATCTTCTCACATCACTCCACCTTCCAGACACGTTGTAGGATTATAGCTACTGGAATTGACAACAGTGCAATACAAGCCAGACGTTCAAGGCAACCCTTTAGTAGCTCCACCAAGGCTTCCTTTTTCATCTAATATTTATTCGAAGTTATTTATTACAAATTGCACAAAGGGTGGGGGAGAGAGAAAGGGAACAGCCTGTTCAAAGATATGGCAACATCGCCATGTGGAGGGGACGCAGAAGGTAGAAAGGGTCAGCAGTCACTATGAATCATAAAGACATAGAAACATAACAGAGCTACGGGAGAAAAAACCTACTCATTCAGCATTATGTCATGCTGGCTCTGAGGAAGTTTTAAGGCGGTGGCCTGCCAGATGCTGCACTAATTCCCAGGATCCCCCACGATGGCCATATTGGCTGGGGTTGCTGGGAACATCTGGTAGGCCACAGGTTTTTCCAACCTGGACAGTTAATGGGTAGGACTGAACTACAGGGTATTTCCCTCCCCTACAAGTATTAATCATGATTTAGCATTACATCTGCATTATTGCTAAAACTACCAACTAGACATGAACAAAGATTTGATTTGCTAATTTGGTTAGGATCAGAAAAGAACACAAACTACAGAAGCCTGACAGAAGAATGCAAAGGAGGAAAAATAACTGTGAATTATCCTCTTCTGCACCTCCTTCAAACAGCGTTCAGCATAGCCTTTCCCAACCTTCAGGCTCCATGTGTGATTGTAATGCAACTGTCATCGTCTTGGTTACAAAGTTAGGGACCTTGACAGGTGCTAATCATAACTGGCATTGACGTAGGTGTAATACCAAACCACTAAGGAAATGTGTAGATTAAGCGGGGAAGGAATGAGACAGGAACTCACTCGTAAGCTGGGCTCACAAATTATGCTAAACCATAATTATTTTTAGCCATGATTAGCTGCAAAGCCATAATAGCCTGGTTTACATAACACTAGGGTGCAAGTATTACAAACAGGAGCGGCTATGTTCAAACATTTTACTAAGCTAAAACCTAAGAAACTAAATTAGTGGAAGGTGTGGACCTGGTGTATAATCTCTTAAACACATAAAGAGGTTGGGAGAACTGTATCTGCACTGGATCACCCACTGCCTAAAACAGGTCATATTTCCCAATTTGTTTCAAGTGCATCTGCACTTACCTGCTGGTGCTGCCGGGCCCCCTCTGTGATCGACTTGACAACTACATCAATTAGTTGCTTGCACATCATCTTTCAGGAAACAAAAGATTGGCAATTAATAGACTTGTACCATATTTGGAAGTATACAAGGAGTGTCTCATAATGCCCACATCCAGTTCAACTGATAAGAGATGTGGATCAGACAAAAGGAAGAATGGAATTAGCAGAACTCACTGTCACAAAGTGTGGTGAAAGATCAGGCGGTTTTAAAAGGGGATTAGGCAAATTCATAGCAGAAACAATCAATGCTATTAAGTGAGATGGCCACATACATTCCCTACATTCAGAGGTATTGCCTCTGAATACCAGTTCTGTATTCTCCAACAACCGTTAGAGAAGGCTGTTTCCTTCATGCCCTGTTCATATCCTGTGAGAAACAGGATGCTGCATTAAAAGGTTCTTCTTCTCTGGTTTTATTGACATTACAGGCATTGTCCAGTATGTGCCTCTGGCATTTGTACCACAATGTCTATGTGCCACTATGTGCCACAATGCCAGAAGAAGGAACCCTACAAGAAAAATCAGCTCCATAAGTTAGTCTGTCCTGGATTGGCTCCCTTGAAATGTGTTAGCTACAGCTCTCAAAATTCCCAGCCAGTATGGGAATTTGGGGGGGTTGAAGCCCCAATACACTTGAAAGTTGCCAGCCTAGAGAAAATTAATTGAAGCATGGGAGATTGCTCTATGAATGGTCCAAAAGCAAAACATGCCTTTCCTCTGAGGGAGGATGCTTTCATCACATGCACCTGATGGACAACAAATAAACATGCAATGCATTTACCAAAGCCAATACAGGTAGTCCTCATTTAATGACCACCCTGTTTAGCGACCGTTCAAAGTTACAACAACGTTGAAAAAGTAACTTGATGACCGGTCCTCACACTTACAACTATTGCAGCGTACCGACGGTCACGTGATTGAGATTCGGGTGCTTCACAACCAGTGGGCATTTATGACTGTTGCAGCATCCCATGATCATGTGATCACCATCTGCATGCTTCACAGCCAGCTTCCAACAAGCAGAGTCAATGGAGAAGCCAGCAGTAAAATCACAAATCACAGTCACGTGACATCTTGCTTAACGACCATGGGCAATTCGCTTAACGACAGAAGCAGAAGTGAAGTTGTAAGCCCGTTGCAGTAACTTAGTGATGGAGTTGCTGGTCCTGATTGTGGTCATTAAGCAAGGACTACCTGTAGTGATGTGGAAAATGGGCAAGTGAGGCACCGTCTCTACCTACCGGGTGGCGTTCAAAGAGGTCAAGAAACATGGCTCCAGTCAGTGGGCTCTTACGCTTTGTCAAAAACAAGTTCAAAGCCTCTTTATACACAGCAGTCACCCGGTCCAGGTCCACACTGCCAAGATCAAAATGCTAGAACGGTAAAAGGTAAAGGATGAAGTGTTTTGCAAGTCATATATCTTTATGACAATTGAACAGTTACTGAGAATAACTCTGTGCAGGATGCTACACAGAGCTGAGAAATAAAACTATGATTCACATGCAGGCTTGCAGTCTAAATGCAAGAAAATAGGGAATGCATATCAGTCACGTTTCAAAAAATGATTAGAAAGAAGCATACTGGACCTCATGTAAGCCTGAAAAAAAGATGCCACAGCTTTAATGAATCTATTCATTAAATTAATAAGATTCTTAAAGCAATGGCATCTTTAGGAGGTTTGCACAGACGCTTGAAATCAATGGCCTGCTTTAATGAATAGCACAAAAGTGCCAAGCACACGCAAAGTCCAAAACACTTCCAAATAATTTTTAACACCTGCATGGCTCTACTCCACACATGCATACACACACATACACACACATGGGTAGTGCTCAAGTTACAACTGCAATTGGGACCGGGTGGCAGGGAAGGAGGCATGGTGAGGCTCAGGGAGGTTATACGAGTGGCCACTGCGGTACAAGCGCAGAGGGGCTGGGGGAGAGCACACAGGTGGGGGAGACTTACCCCAGCAACTTGTGACCTTCCCTGCTGACTTTCCCATTGACTTTCTGGGGAAGCCAGTGGGGAAGGTCACAAATGGCAATCGTGTGGTCACGGGGTGCTGCAACCAGTCCTAAGTGCAAGCTGTTTGCCAAGCACCCAGATCATGATCACGTAACCACAGGGATGCTGGGATGGCCAGAACTCTGAGGACAGGTTGTAACTACCTGTGTTCAGTGCTGTTGTAACTTTGAACGGTCACTGAACAAATGGTCGTAAGTCAAGGACTGTGTGTATGTGTACACACACGCACACAGAGACACATAGTTGTCACTGCCAAAGCTGAAGCTTAGGATTTGTTGTACAGAGTTCAATTCAACAAATAAGGTTCTAGCCCTTAGGAATGCAAACTGAGAGCAGATTGAAAATGGGGAACTGTCAGCAAAATATGAAGCAGACAGACTTGAATGTACAGGTAGTCCTTGGCTTACAACAGCAATTGGGACCAAAATTGCCATCGCTAAGCAATGTGGTCGTACAGTGCAATGTCACATGACCGAGTCACTTAGCAACAGCAGTTCCAGCATCCGTCGTTAAGTGAGGATCATGCAGATCGTTAAGTGAAGCCCTCACATGACCATGACTTCTGACTTCCTGCCAGCTTCCCCATTGATTTAGCTTGTGGGAAGCCAGCACAGAATGCCAGAAATCGTGATCATAGCTCGCTGTGATGTCATAATTTCAAGCTGGTTGCCAATCACTTGGATCACGATCATGTGACCACAGGGATGCTGCGACAGCCGGAACTCCGAGGACTGGTCATAAGTCTCCCTCATTCAGCACCGTTGTAACTGAACGGTCACTGAACAAATTGGCATGACTTGAGGACTACCTGTTGTCACCTGTATCCTCTTGCTTATTTAAAGTATTTTATGCTCTATCGTCCTGCTTCAAGTCTCTTCTTAAAAGATTACTATAGAAGCAGCTGATGGACGACAAGGTAAAAAACAGACTTGAAACGCATTAAGAGCTGATGAAGCTTAAAAGATAATAATGATGTCCAGCAAGCATGCAGACACTTCCACAATCTCACAAATCCAGCCAAGGTACAGATGTGATTGGAAATTTCTGCTGGTGCATTTCCCTACTAGGCTCCAATTGGTGAAGAGCGTCAGGATGTGGGAGGCACTTTTTGACAGCCCCAAACATACCCATGTCAGCAGAACAGAGCTGTGTTTTTTGGCCCAAGGAAGGTAAATGGACAAAGGAACTCCTTACCTGTCCAGGTGACACTTCACTTCCCTCCGGATTTTTCCATTTCTTTTTTGTCTGGGCACCCTCTGACACCATTTCATCAGCTGGTGCATTTCCCCTCAATACTCGGAAAAGGTACAATGATCCACTAAAAGCAGAATGAAGAAACAGCCAAAGAAAGGTTCTGTTAAGTATACAATGCTGTGCAGCAAAAGTCAGGATGGATTTACTTACACACATGAACCTAAACTCTGCATTTGCAACATAACATTAGGTCCCTGGAGTGGCTCATAGATATCTTTAATAAAATTAAAATGGAACCCAATTAATAAAGCAAACAAAGGGCTATTCAGAGAGTTCTACGCTGAGAATGCAAGTTTATGGTGTATAATGTAAAAGTACAGGCAAACATTTATTTTTAGTCTGGCACTTATACTGTAGTGAGGAGAGTGCAATGCAAGCCATCAGGGGAAGGTTATTCAATGAATGAGGAAAAGTGGCTCCTTTTAATCCCCTCCAACTTTAGGTAACAATCTAAGAAAGATCTCTGATGAAATTTTCAGGGCAAGGACTAATTGTTGCCCATGAAGTTGTTATACAGGTAGTCCTCATTTTGTGACCACAACTGGGACCGGCAACTTGTTTGTTAAGCAAAGCGATTGCTAAGTGAAATTGCAACTGTGCTTACAATCTTACTTCAGCTTTCCTTTGCTTTACAGACTTGTGAAAGTCGTAAATGCGAGGATTGGTCGTAAAGTTACTTTTACATCACCATCGTAACTGTGGTTGCTGTTGGAGGTAGTCACTAAATGAGGACTACCTATATGTCAAGCAGAAATTTAAAAATAAAAATCAGCACTTGAAACAGAGCTTGACACTTCTGAACTCAGGGTTGATCTGTTCACTTGGACCCGGTTAGCAGTCTACTTTACTGGCTGCACTTTCTGAAGCATTTTCAATAAAACCCTATAGACAGACAAGGACATTCCAAGAATCCACCCTGGAAGTTATCAGGGTGTAGATTACAATGCTATAACTCAGCCTTTCATTTCTACAAGGAAGTTTCTAATCCTTAGTATGACAGTTGTATGACAGGTCTCCCCAGGGGAAAAGATGGAGAGGAGAAATCTAAGGCAGGTGTCTAATGCTCAGGACAGTGCTAATCAAGAAGCAAAGTAAAAGCACATTTCATTTGCATAGTTCAAACAGCTTGCAGCTGTTCTTAGTACAATTTGTATGCTGCTTCTAAAACTAGCTGTCTAGGTCGTTTCAGTTCAACCTGGAGTATAAGAGGAATCTGGTTTATGTGGCTAAGGAAGGTAGCATTAATTCTGCCCAGCCAGGGCAACAGCCTATTATTGGGGAACAGGTGGGCTAAAATACAGGTAGTCTTTGTTTACGGACTATCTCATTTAATGACCATCCAAAGTTACGATGGTGTAAAAAAGCTTTGCTTTGTGTGCCATTTTTATCTATGCTTGTGTCCAGTCATTGCTAAAAAGAACCCCTTGGATACTGATGAGTTCCCTCCCCTCCCCTCCCTACCCCACCACAGTTACCCTTTCCTATTGTGGAAACAGAACACTATATCCTGCAAGGTTGAAGACATTCAGACATGATTTTAAAGGGCACATATTCTGCATCATCAGAAACGTGCTCAAGAAATGCATCTGCATAGGGGGTTTCTTTTCTGAACTAATTCATCCAGCGCTGCCTTCAGATTTTCTTTAAAACCATTAAGGATTGGCCACTTCCCTTCCTATTATTTAAATGAGAGATCTGACATCTTGTTTTTCTTAACCACAATCTCAAAGTTTCAGGCTCCGGCTTCTAAGATAAGAATACAGACATCTTTCAGTACTCAAGCCGAACTGAAAAAGGCATTGTGTGGGTGCACGCTTTGTGCAGAAAACTCACCTGAAGTAGTAGAGGGCTACTGAGGAGTCACTCTGCTTGCAGCCTCTGTTCACCAAACTTTCTAGCTGGGTGTGCAGTTCCTCCTGGATAGAGGACACATTTTTGCAGTATTGCTTGGATCTACACAAACTATTCCTGAAAACGAAAAGGAACATTCCACAATGTTAACTATCACAGAGAAATCCCACAGTTGCGCTTAGTCTTTCCATCAGACTGACTCTAAGCAAGACAAAATTAAAATCCATGCAACCAGCACAATAATACACAAATAAAGTGCCAGGGAGGAAGTGGGAGGGAGACACGGTCAAAGTTCTAAGCCAGATGTACCCAACTGGAGGCCCTACGGCCACATGGCATCCACTAAAGCCTTGTATTCAGCTCTCAGAGGTCTCCGAGACTTGCTATTAAATTGGAGTGTCTTACTGTGACAGAAAAAGCTATTAAAATATAACTGAAGAGTAATATTATTTCTAGCTGTAAATAAATCTGAATAAAATGAAATAAAATCTAGTCCTCACTTCATCCACTATTTTGGGGGCACTGCCATCACACGTCACTCAAAAGCTAAGTTTGATCCACAGCCCAGAAAAGTTGCATGCCCATGTTTAGGCAAATCTGCTCCAGCTCAGAGTCTTCTAGAATTGTGGAACTGTAACTTCCATTACCTTCAACATTATTTTCAACTTAATGGGAGTTACAGTTCAACAGATCGGAAAGTCATCAAACTGGGGAAAAGCACTCTAGAGCAGTGTTTCTCAACCTCAGCAACTTTAGGATGTTGGCTGGGGAACTCTGGGAGTTGAAGTCCACACATCTTAAAGTTGCTGAGGTTGAGAAACACTGCTCTAGAGAACTGCATTAAATTCTGGTCAAGATGACTAAAAAAAACACCTGAGTCAGCACAGGCCACTTGGCATGTTTATACTTCTCTCTCTCGTTCTCTCTCTCTGACACACACGCATCCTTGAAACTCACGTGAAAATATCTGCAGTCTTCCGGAGGTAATCTTGTTCTTGCTTGTTAGAGTCTGAGTTCATGCTGTGCTCAATCACAGAAAGAAGGGGATCAATGACACTGAAGACAAGAGGGTTCCCTGCCTGCTTTGTCAGAAATAACTCAACCAAATCCAGGACCTGAATGAAAAATAAACAGAGATGTGTATCACATTAACAGCAACCACCATAGGAGAAAAATCTGGAAAGAGGTATATAGAAGGAATCCACGGTTGAACTCCTTCACCAATTAACATCTAATCCATGAAAGACATTTATGAAATTCAAAAAAAACAAGCATACATTTCAGTGATTTTCATATAGTCCTAACCAAAAAAAAAAAGGCTATATTATTCTTTTGGTTTTAAGCCGAAAAAGAATTGCTGATAAAATATCCCACTCCAGTTCATGAGTTTATAGTGACCCTTGGAGGTCATAACTAAAATAGCCCAACTGACAGCAAAGACGTGAAAGTGAGAGTTTTGTTTTCTTGAGCTCAAGAACAGATAAAGATGGATGATGTGCTGGAGAAGTAAAAAAAAAAAAGACTGAAAGGCTAGGAAGAAAGGCAATTATCAGACAAGATCATAAAGGATACGGACCAAGGATCATAAAGGACAACACCACCAAGACCGAGGAGTTAAAGCAATGATCTTTACAGTGGGAACATACAGCCACGAAATCTGGAGACTAAGAAGATTTAGTCTTAGTCTCACAGTCTTAAGTCTTTAAGATCTCCATGAAATAGGGATTTTGGAAACAGTAGCCAGGGTACCATGGACTGCAAGAAGAACCAATCCATCAAACATGGACCAAATTAAGCTGCTTCATTGACTATGCAAAAGCCTTTGATTGTGTGGATCACAACAAACTGTGGCAAAT